TCCCCCCGTTCCTGCCTCCCAGGCTGCGGCAAGCTGACCGGCGTCAGTAACCCCATCACCATCCGGGCCATGGGCTCCCGCTTCGGCTCCTGGATGACCGACACCATGGCCCCCAGCTCGGACAGCCGGGTGAGTGACAGCACTGAGGGGCAGGGGTCGGGGCCGGTGCCTGCGCCCTGGGGCCCAAGGGTCCTGGCCCGGGTCCCCACAGCCCTCAGGGTGACCGGGACCCTCTGGCCTGGGAGTCCCAAGGCCCAGTGACCGAGCAGTGAAGAGTGGTCGCCGGGTGGTCACTGGCCACAGACAGGCACGGGTTCTGTGACGTGGGTGAGGCCTTAGAGGCAACCTGACCTTAGGGACCCACTGCACACGTGGCCTGGCCAACCGTGACGTTGCTCACACCGGGCACGGCCTGTGGATGACCTAGTGCTGCCCGTTACCTGAAGCCACAGGCGCCAGCCACAAGCTGCCCAGTGACCGTCCTGTGCTGGTGACTGCCAGGCCACTCAGCATCAGCACCATCCACCCTGGCGCTGGATGCCCGTGGATCCTGGGGGCTCGAGGACTCGGTTGGTCTGGGAATCACACGTGGACTCGTGTCCTGTCCGGCCACGCTCTAGCCAGGGAGCCTCGGGCAGGGGCCCCAATGTCTGTGTCCCCCGTCTCTGCCTTTAGCATTAACAAGGGCTCCCAGCCGGACGTGGTGGTGGTACACGCCGTCGTCCTGGCACCCTGGGAGGCTGAGGCAGGAGGATTGCTGTGAGTTCAGAGGCCAGCCTGGGCTGCACATGGAGTTGAAGGCCAACCTGAACAATATAGTGAGACTCTGTTTAAAAAAAAAAAAAAAAACTAAAGAAAAAAAAGTTTAAATAAATAAAGACATAAACGTATGGAAGGAAGACAGGGAGGAAAGCAGGGAAGGCTGGGGAGGTGGCTCAGTGCAAAGGCCCTGGGGTCAGTCGTCAGTATAAAATAACAAAGGCACTGACGAGGGCTACTCATGACAGCCGTGATGTGGCGACGGCAGTGGAGGAGATGACAGTATGCTGGCCACCTGCTGGGTGGCTACCAGGGTCACCCTGGTGATGACCGCAGGTGGTGTGCAGTGAGCACTAAGCAGCCCATGTCCAGCCGCCCCTGAATTGTTGGCCCACTTTCCCCGAGTCCTTTGGGACCAGGTGCCACCCAGCTGGGGTCTGCTGTGAGCCAGGTGGTCACACGATGGGCTGAGCCGCGCCCGCGTGAGTGACCTGGGCCCTCAGGACCGCGGCTGACTCCTGCAGTGACACCGGCTGCTTCCCTAGGTCTGGTACATGGACGGCTACTACAAGGGCCGGCGGGTCCTGGAGTTCCGCACCCTGGGCGACTTCATCAAAGGCCAGAACTTCATCCAGCACCTGCTGCCGCAGCCCTGGGCGGGCACCGGCCACGTGGTGTACAACGGCTCGCTGTTCTACAACAAGTACCAGAGCAACGTGGTGGTCAAGTACCACTTCCGCTCGCGCTCGGTGCTGGTGCAGCGGAGCCTGCCGGGCGCCGGCTACAACAACAGCTTCCCCTACTCCTGGGGCGGCTTCTCCGACATGGACTTCATGGTGGACGAGAGCGGGCTCTGGGCCGTCTACACCACCAACCAGAACGCGGGCAACATCGTGGTGAGCCGGCTGGACCCGCACACCCTGGAGGTGGTGCGGTCCTGGGACACCGGCTACCCCAAGCGCAGCGCGGGCGAGGCCTTCATGATCTGCGGCGTGCTCTACGTCACCAACTCCCACCTGGCCGGCGCCAAGGTCTACTTCTCCTACTTCACCAACACATCCAGCTACGAGTACACGGACGTGCCCTTCCACAACCAGTACTCACACATCTCCATGCTGGATTACAACCCCCGCGAGCGGGCCCTGTACACCTGGAATAACGGCCACCAGGTGCTGTACAACGTCACCCTCTTCCACGTCATCAGCACCGCGGGGGACCCCTAGGTGCCTTGGCAGCGGCCGGCGGCTCCGGCTGCCCGAGGGCTGCTGGGGCTCCGGCCCTCGCTGCTGCATCCCTTCTGGTCTGTGTGTCTGTCGGCCCCTCTCCCTGCCTCTGCCCGGCTTTCATTGCCTGCCCTTCTATTTCTCTCCCTGCATTTTCTCGGTGGTCTCTCTCCTCCTTTGTTGATCTCTGCTTTTGATACCCCACTTCCCGGTCGTTCTGCCTTTTTATGAATGTCCACATCTTTTTATTATTTTGGGGGGTACTGGGGATCGAACCTGAGGCCTTTGCACTGAGCTACATGCTCTCCATCCTCAGCTCTTTTGTTTCCCTTGTTTTGAGACATGGTTTCACTACACGGCTAACTTGCGCAGGCTGGTCTGAACTCGGGCCCTGCCTCAGCCTCCCAGTGCTGACTGCGGTGTGCGAGCCACAGGCAGCCCGACTGCACCGCCCAGCCTCAGGTCCCCGCGTCTCTCTCCCCTCCCTCCCTGCTTCCCGCTGGCCCTCGCCCTGGAGTTGCCTGCATGGACCTTTTGTTTTATTTTGTTTTCTCTCCGGGCTGCCGGAATAAACGGGACTTTGCCATTTGACACTTCCGTGGCTCTGTGTGTGGTGGCCGAGGTGGAGGCGCAGGTGGCGACCGGCACTGGTCCCTGCTGCCGAACCGGGCGGTTGGGCAGAGCGCGGGCCCCTCTCCAGGGCAAGCCCTTGGGCTCCGCTGAATTTATCATTTCTCTTTGCTTTGTGATTTCAGAAAGCGTTTGCAGAAGGTGCCCTTGGCCTGGCTAAGGATGACCCCACCACACCCAGAGCCCTCTCCCTTGGTGGTGTGAGTGTGTGTGTGCCACGGGGCACTGAACGCAAGGCCTCTGCACTGAGCCACACTCGAAGCCTTTTTTATTGAGTCAGGATCTTGCTAAACTGCCCAGGCCGGGCTTCAACTTGAGACCCTCCTGCCTCAGCCTCCCGGAGTGCGGAGGGAGAGTACAGGGTGGAGCCTTGTGCTGGGAGGGAGCTCAGGCAGGGCTGGCTCCCGGCAGGGCAGGACCGGAGCGGGAGGCCAGGCAGACACGAGGGCTCTGCAGCCAGATGTGCCCCAGGACGGCGAGGTGTGTGTGGGTGGGGACGTGGAGGTGCCACAGACAGGAAGGACAGGCTGAGGACAGGGCGGCACAGGGCCCACTCTGCTCCCTCGCCGGGCCTGGGTGGCCACCAGAGGGTGTGGGGAGCCACAGCCCTCCCCAGCCCTAATTAATGGCCTCCCTGATTAAATCATCTGGGAGCTCGGACACCAGCCATACTGGGAAGGAAACCCATGCATAATAAATGGGGCTGCCTAATGTGCTCATTTAAAACCAATTTTAAAGAAATCCTCCCGAAGACCAATTAATTTCCATTTAAATGAGCAAGTGTGACAGGAAGGGAAAAGATGGATGTGTGGATTAGCGCAGGGACAGGCCCTCGGCTGGGCCCGCTAGACGATGAGCACACACGGGGCCGCGAGGCAGGAGGTCACTAGAGGCCAGCCCGGGCCACACAGTAACTTAGCGTGACCGTCTCAACAATGAAAAAGGGCTGAGGGCGGAGCTCAGGGCCACACGCTCATGGGGCACCAAGTCTGACTGTCTGTCTGTCTGTCTGTCTGACACAGCCTCAGCCTTTGAGGCTTCAGCTTCGGCCAGGGATGAGCCCCGGGTTCGACACTGCCCTCCACCGGCCAGCGCTGGCCGTGCACTCACCTCCTCCTCGGTCAGGGACCTGCAGGCCTGTGCAGTAACCGGGTGCCCTGGGGGACTGCCTGCGCCCTGCCGGGGTCACGGAAGCCGGGGGATGCGAATGAGGGACAGGTCTGCTTGCAGGTGAGCCGCGGGTGGAGTCGGTGGTTCGGCTCTCACCGGACTTGTGCAGGCCGCGGGCTCCTGCCCTGCGGGAAGCCCAGGATTTATGGCCCAATGTGGTTCCTGCAGGAGGGTGCGGGAGGGGGACGTGGGGCGGCGAGGGAACCACAGCGCCTTATCCATAAATCACCAGGATGCCGACAGGGCTCCAGGGGCCCGTTTATCTGACTCAACAGCCGCATTCTCCCTGGGCTCGCAGGGAGGGGGAGCAGAGTCCAGGGGACAGGGACTCCCCAGGGAACAGGACAGACGGACGGGGGGGCGCGCACCCCCACGCACCCTGGACGTCCACGGGGACAGTGTCGCTGGGACGGCGCTCTGCTGGCCCCTCCTGGCAGCATTTTAGACCTCGTGGGGCCCCCAGGGGTTCAGGTCAGCACATGGTGGCCCCCAGCTGGGTCACCCAACTGTTGCTGGCAGAGGGCTGCTGCCCGCCCGCCCGGAGCCCCGGGGGAAGCTGGAGGGGGAGAGGCGGCCAACCGTGGTCCTGCGCAGTGCGGAGGACACTCATTAAACCTCCCGCTGGATGACAGTGCTCTGCAGGGGCGAGGCGGCTCGGCTCCCCGGTGCTCCCCGGAGCCCAGCTCCAAGCTGCCCAGGACCCCAGGCCTCGCCGGCTGTGGCCACCGCCGCGATCAGGCTGACCGTTGTCCACCAAGGGGCGGGCAGGGCGGTGGGTGTCGCCCCATCTCCAGTGAGACTCACAGCCCCCAGCCCAGGCCCTGGCGCACAGGCAGCCGTGGGGAGACTACAGGCAGGTGGGCCCCTCCCTAGAGCGAGAAGCCCCATCACGAGAGCCCCTCTGCTCCCCAAAAGCAGCTGCAAGCTGTACCCATTCCCAGTCCCCTCCGCGGGGATCCCAGCTCTCAGAGGCCCCCCCCCACAGCACCCCTCCCCTCCGGGGCAGGTGGGGTCTGTTTCCATGGCAACAGCATCTGCTGAGGGCCCAGTCCGGCAGGGCAGCTGGGTGTAATGCACCACTGCAGGAGGGCCTGCGGGACCCCAGGCCTGGAGAAGGGAGGCGGGGGAGCAGCGTGGACACCCAGGCGCCATGGGGGGCCCTGACCGCCCCCCACGGAACCCCTCGCCATCCCAGAGGTGAATGAGACACAGGCCAGCAGTGGTTCCGGCTTTAATGGAGGAGGAGCAGGGTGCTGCTGTCCGGCTGCCGCCCGGGCCTGCAGCCAGCGCTGGGCACTGCTGTCCCTTGGCTTTTGCAACTGGACGGGGCCCTGTGGCCGCCTCGGGGCCGGGGCACCAGCCGCCCTGGATCCCGGGTCAGGGGGCTCCCCACCCATGGCTCCGCTGAAGTCGGGGTGACTGGGGCAGCCCCACTGTGGAGGGAGGGCGCAGAGGCCAGCGTCCCGTCTCCACGAGCCCCTCCCCAGCCTCCGGACAATAAATACTGCGTGGCGGAGGCGGCGGGGCGCGTGGCCTCACTCGGTGCGCAGGATGATGTGGATGCCCGAGTCCGTGAACACCGGCCCGCTCATCTCCCCCGTCCGCAGTGCAAACGAGGCATCTTCAAATGGCTTCTGCATCTGACCTGGGGAGGGGCGGGGGGCTCAGCACAGGCTGGGGATGGCGGGGACACCAGGGGGCCCCAGGAGCCCGAGGACAGCACAGGGGATGCAGCTGAGGGCCGCCACTGTGCGCCTCCTCTCCCAGCCGGGGCCACCGGGGCCAGCACCAGCCCGGGGCTCCTCCTGGGCGCCCCAGCCCGGCCAGGCAGCCCTGGCCTCTGCAGACCTGAGGATGGCGGGGTGCAGTCACTGTGGCCCCCCAGTTCCCTCAGCCCTGGCCGGACTGGCCTCAAGTCAGGGCGCCCATCTGACCCTGCCTCCTGGCACCCCGTTTCCCGTTTGAGGATGTGGAGGAAGATTCTGGGGGGCCCTGGAGCCTGCCCTCAGGACAGGTCACTGACAGACAGGACAGGGCCACCCTGCTGGGCCCATGATAGGGACAGCGGTGCAGGACACACAGTCCAGGACCCCAGCAGGACAGACGGACAAAGGCGGGAGGGAGGCTGCGCCCCGGCCCGCAGCGCCGGCTCGGCCCAGGGAGCGACCACACTGCCACCTGGTGGCCACCGGAGGCCGCAGGCAGGTGCAGGGCAGATGGGGCTGGGCCCGTGGGGTCGGCGGCCTGTGCCCACCTCTGCTGAAGGCACCCAGGTCTCCCCTGGCCTTGGCCGAGCTGCAGTCGCTGAACTGTGAGGCCAGGGACTCGAAGTCCTCCTCGCCCGACTTGATCTTCTGGATGTAGCCTGCAGGGGACAGGACAAGGGGGGACCCAGTCAGGGCGGGGTGCGACTGGGGTGCTGTCTCCCATCCGGACGCGCCTGTGACCCCCAGGGAGCTCACGACACCATAGAAAGTCTCCTGTCATCACTCTGTCCCTGGCACACGCGCCCAGCCCCAGACACACACACAGTTCAGCGGACGTCGACCTGTAAGAGGTACCCCAGAGCCGGGAGCACAACACAGCTCCTCTCCCCAAAACAGGGCGACAGGTGTGGCGGGAGGGTGGATCTGCCCCGTGTGTGTGTGTGTGTGTGTGTGTGTGTGTGTGTGTGTGTGTGTGTGTGTGTGTGCCTGTGCGGAGTGTGAGGCTGTGACGGCCCCCGCTGCCCACTCTCCAGAGGTGGGGCGGCTGACACTGGCGGGCGGTGTTTGCACACTTCTCTCCTGACACTGCCCCATGCTCAGTACCCACGTGTGCCCACCACGCCTACCGGGTGCGGACGTGAGGGCACAGCCGTCAGGGGCCGTGTGAGCCCACAGGGACCTCCGGTGACCCAACCAGGGCTTCCAGTCCCGCCAAGCCCCCGTCTTCCTGACGTGGCCCCGACCCGGCTGCCCGGGCTGCCTGGCCTGCCTCCCATCCGACGTCAGGGCCACCTCGACCGGCTGATGGCTGCTGTGGGGGGAGCAGTGTGACCCGAGGACCCCCCAGCAGGGACAGCAGCAACCTCGGTCTCCGGCCTGCATGGTGCCGGATGCAGGTTGCCTGCCACGTCTGGCCCCACAGCCAGCCACGTGCCCGGCCACGGTGGCACCCAGCCCCGCACCGAGGGAGACACTGACAGGCGCCACTTGCTGTCACCATTATCCTCCCGTGTGGGCCGTGTGGCCCAGGGACAGACGAGGCCGCCCCGTTCCTCTCTGCTCTGCCACCCGGAGCCGTGTGCAGATCCGGCTGTCACCACGAGGCACAGACGGCCTGGTGCTGCCACCCAGGTGCCCAGGCACACACAGCGCCTCTGCCCCAGGCCAGGCGTGCCCGGTCTCCTGCCCTGCTCCTCCCCTGGACCTCAGGGTGTCCCCATGCACAGTGTGTACGGCCCCCCTAACAGCTCCCAGGGCTCTGAGGAACAGTCCCTCAGGCGGGAGTGTGAGGTGCTGCTGGGCACGGGGGTGCACACCTGTCACCCCAACACTCAGGAGGCTGAGGCAGGAGGACCGCCTGGAGTTCTAGGTCAGCCGGGGATACACAGGGACACCCGGTCTCAAAATAAAACCAAAGAGACCCTAAAAAGAGGGGATGGGCAATTCAGTGCTGAGTATCCCCCGATTCCACACACCCCAAGGTGACACCCAGGCCGCAGTGAAGCCCCTCCCAGCCCCGGGCCCGCTGCCCCCCATCCCCAGCCTCTCCTGCTGCCCCCGCCCCCCCTCCCCGCCCCCCGTGTCTCTGGTTCCTCCAAAGCGCCCCAGCCCAGCAGTGGCTGCGTGCGGTGTGGCCTGCCTGTGTCTGCTGAGGACGGGGTGTGGGGTGCTCACACCCCGGAGCTGGAGCCCCTAACGGGAGAGATGGGGGGGGAGACAGCCAGCACCCAGTTTTCAGGCAGAAGCTCTGTCTGCCTGAACCTCAGGACCCAGGTGAGGCCACACTTCCCGGAGACGCGGCCGCCTCAAGTGCGACACCGGGGCTCCGGCCGAGGCGCAGCGCAGGCTGACCTGGAGCTCCAGCTGCTGGTTCTGATCCGAGCCTCACTGGCCGGGCTGTGCAGTGGGGAACCAGTGCCCCCACCCTGGAGGGAACAAGGGACCGCCGGAGAGTGCTATTCACAGACACGAGCTGTGCCAGCCATCTGTGCCTTCCCAGGTGGCTGATGACGCCCCACCGCAGCCCTGGGTGTGACTGTACTGGGCCAGTTAGACGTGGCCGTGGGGTGCGGCCCTGTTTTTTTTTTTTTGTAGCAGGATTGAACCCAAGGCCTTTGCATTAAGCTACATACCCAGCACTGCCCCGTTTTAAAATTTTGAGAGAGGAGCTTGCTAAATTGCTAAGACTGAATTTCCACTTGTGATCCTCCTGCCTCAGCCTCCCACACTGCCGGGATGCCACATGGGCACCACTGCACCCAGGGAAGATCTCTGTTCTGTAAAAGATAAAAAAAAAAAAAGACACCTGGCGGTGTATGCTTGTCATCCCGGCACTTGGTCACTACTGAGGTCACCGTGAGTCTCAGGTGCTACACTGTGAGTTCAAGGTCAGCCTGAACTGCACTTGAGACAAAAAAATCCCCGCCAGGTCCAGAGGCACAGGGCTGGGGTCCCGCTGCTCAGGAGTCCAGTCAGCCTGGGCTCCCAGTGAGACCCAGCCTCAAGAGAAACAGAAGAAAAATACAACAGGAGACACCAAGGGTCCTTCGACTCTCCTGTGCTGGTGCGTGAGGACACCACGGGACAGAGGCCGGGAACCAAACCTGCCGGAACCTGATCTCGGCTACAGCACTGCGACCGCGGAGAGCGCAGCAGCCCAGCTCAGAGGCAGTCACTCGGGAGAGGCGGACAGCGGCCAGCACACGCCCAGGGTGGGGCCGCCTACAAGGGTTAGAGACAGACACCGTCCAGCCTGCCCCTAGTCCAGCCTGCCCCTAGGCCGCAGCGGGTGCCTGCGCCAGGGAGCCCGGGAGAGGTGATGGGGCCAGGTCTGCCCCACTGGCCTGGGAGACGCCAAGTAGAGGCAGCCAGGGACGAGTCTGGGCGAGGGATTGTGAGGACACAGGGGGCACTTCCTGCTTCCCGCGCCTCTGGCACCCAGCATGCAGGGCTGCAGTGGGCCGTGCCCGCCTCCCCCCTGCATCAAGGACACCGGCAATGCCACCCGCCAGGCTCAGGCTCCTGACAGCCACTGGCCGCAGCCCAGCCGCTGCAGAGAAGTTTCCTGCAGGGGCCTCGGCGAGCAGAGCAGCTCAGGCTCTAAATGGGCACTGGTGACACTGGTGCACACAGCCGGCCAGCCGGGGAGAGGGGGACGCTGCCCGATCGTCATCTCCTGATGACGTCATCTCCTGATGGCCTGGACCGAGCCCACGAAGGGGAGAAAACAAGGCCGGTCCACAGCAAGTGCTGAGCTGGGTGGACGGCCTGAACCCCAGTACGCCCCAAGGTCCCCGCCAGGCCACCTCACTGTCCCCCTCACAGCCTGAGACACAGTCGGGTGGCCCTGGCCCCGGTCACCAGGCTGTGCGGCTAGACCTGCCTGCTTCCTACGTCCCCCTGCGGCCCCAGCAGGGGCCTCGCCTTCTCCTCCATCCCTGCCACCTGCCCGTCCCAGCCGGTGGCCAGGGTCGAGGCGCTGCCACGTGCAGAGCAGGCACCAGCCCGAGCCCACTGTGGATCTGCACAGCCCCTGTCGTGGTCCCGAGACGTGGACACTGAATGGCCCCAGGGGAGCCCTGCCTCTCTGACCACACGTCACCTCCCTCCCAACACCCAGCTCCTACCCCTGAGGCCCAGGATTCTGCCTCCTCTACCTCTCTAGAACCTGCACCCCCACACCAGCCCCAAGTTCAAGTCACGGTGCCTCAGGCTGCAGTGACTCCCAAGGCTCCCGTGTGCCCCGAACAGGCAGGCAGGGCCCCCCACCATTCCGTATCTCAGGGCCTGGCTGCCTGCTGGGAGCACCCTGACTTTCCTTCCGAGATTCCAGGCCCACTCAGGAGCCCCAGACCTCCTGCAGGGTCAGCCACGACAGCACACACCTGTCCCCCTGCCTTGGCCAGACCTGGGCTTGGCTCGCTGTCCCTGCCTGCCTCAGCCTCCAGGCGTCCCGGGGTCACCCCTGTACCCCAGGCCTTTGCTGAGCCCCTTCACCGTGCCTCCTGGGGCCCCTGCTGGAGATGACACCCACGTCCTCCTGCTCCTGGCTGAGGTCTCAGAACTGGGACTCCAAGAGCTGGGAGGCCCTGAGGGTCCCCTCCCACCCGCTTCCCCTTCTTCCCTGGGGTACCAGGCCCCTCACCAGCCCCCCGGGGCCCTCCGTGCTCCCGCCATGCAGGTCCCTCACGGCCCTGCCCTTCCTGCTCCCTCTGTCCCGTGCTACAGAGCAAACCCAGGGCTTCACACATCTAGGCAGGGGCTCGACCCACGGAGCCCTTCTGATTTTATAATTTGAGACACGGTCTTGCTAAGTTGCCCGGCCGGCCTTGAGTTCTCGACCCTCCTGCCTCAGCCTTCTGAGCAGCTGAGATTACAGGTGTGTGCCCCACGCCTGCTCGGAGCCTTTCTATAACACCCGGAGGCAGAAGCCAACAGGTGGAGGCAGACGCCATCGGGATGGGGAGACGGGCCTGGCTGGTATGGTGCAGCCGCGTGCCTGGTGACATAATGGCAAAACAGCAGCCAGTGCTGCCCGGGAGCCCTCCGGGCCAGGCCAGGCCCCGGCTAATAATAACACGCAGAGAAGGTCAGCAACTGTAACCTCTACCAGATGCCCCGCGCTGCCGCTGCAGGAGGTCAGAGTCCCCCTGACTGTCCTGGGAGGCAGGTCCCGTTACTCTAGCAACCAGTGAGAACACAGAAGCTCAGAGACGTCAAGTCACCGCTCACAGTCACACAGCCAGGACCTGGCAGAGCAGGCCATTGGCCGTGCAGGGCAGGAGCAGCTGGGCAGAGCTCTGGGGTCTCTGAGGGGAGAGGCTGGGGGGGAGGAAGCCACACCCGACTGCCAGGACTTCCTGAAAGAAAGGAAATGTTTCCCACTGCTGCTGTTCAAGACGGTAGCTGCCACCATGAGTGACTTCTAAACTTTCAAGGGACGACCAGTGTGACTCAAGGCCTACTTCTTAATTTCCTCTCATTTTAATGAGTTTAAATGGGAGTAGTTGGATATGGTGGTGCACACCCATGACCCCAGCACTTGGGAAGCTGAGGCAGGAGGATGCCCATGAGTTCGAGGCCAGCCTGGGCTACACGGTGAGTTCAAGGCCAGGCTGAACCACAGAGCAAGACCTTGCCTTAAAAATAAAAAATTCAGCCACACATAATGGCGCACACCTGCAATCCCAAAATCTGGAGGAGAGGCAGGAGGTTTGGTTCAAATTTGAGGCCTACTTGGGATACATAATGAGTTCAAGCCAGTCTGAACTACATAGCGAGACTCTGTCTCAACAAAAAACCCAAAAAAGCAAAGAAAAAGGAAAACAAATCAATTCATCAACAGAAGTCATCACATGTAGATAGCAGTGGTCCTGCCGACAGCTCTGGGCCAGGGTGCTGCCAAATCCTGCGCGGTGGCCCAATCCTGCTTAGCTGTTTCTATCTTGCAGTCTGAGAACAGAAGCCCGGGGGCTCTATTACTGAGCTACACCCTCAGACTTCTATACTTATTTAGAGACAAGGTCTGGCTAAGTTGCCCGGCTGGCATCAAACTGGCACTCCTCCTGCCTCAGCCTCCTGAGTGCTGGGATACTGGGCATCCACACGGCACACAGCCCCTCTGACTCTGTCAAGCCTGGCTGGCACCCAAAGGCTGTGACCTGTGTGTTCAGCTCGTGCCAGGCGGAGCTGCAGAGGCTGTGGTGCCCACCACACCTGAAAGAGAAATCATCTGGCTTTAAAGAACAAGGTCGCTGCCCAGCTCCAGCTTGTGGGCCGGGGCGGCGAACCCTTCAGGGGTGAGTACCCACACTCGGACCCAAAAATCTACCTGTGGATCGCAAAGTGCCAGTGCCGCAATTAAACCCGAAGAGGAAAGCTTTAGTTTAGAAAAACAACTCTCAGCTGGGCGTGGTGGGGCAAGTCTGTAATCCCAGCACTCAGGAGGCTGAGGCAGGAGGATCCTGGCAAGCTCGAGACCCACTCCAGTGCAGACCGGCCTTAAACTCCTTATGAATCCAGGCTGGCCTTGAATTTCTAGGGCTTCTCCTGCCTCAGCCTCCCGGTTGCTGGGATGACGGGCATGAGCCACCACACCCTGTGGGCTCACCACTATTGTCCTAGAGGAACGGAAGCAAGCGGGAGCGGCCTCTGCCCTGGCGTCAGTGAGCTCACCAGGTCCGGGGCCTGGGTCCACCCTTGCCCTTGTCCGTGCTCCCCCCAGACTCACCTCCCTGTCACCCCGGCCCCTTCTGGTAACAGCGCCACCGAGAACAGCCCAGCTACCAAAGGCCCACAACGGCACGGCCCTCCTCGGGGACAGGGGGCCATGACACCTGCTTTCCACACAAAACTGAGTCTTGGGGAGGTGACATGTGCCCCCAGAGCTCGCAGGGCACTCTGCTGTGCACACTAAGGTGTGCCAGGGTCCTCCGCCCCCATCCGGCTCACTCTCAAATGCTACGTGGACAGGAGGAGGACAGCCAGCGGTGGGGCCAGGCTTGTGTCACACACAGGCCACCACACGACAGCTGAGTGGGCTACGGGCGATGCGGGCTCCGGTGGGACTTGTGCGCGGCCCTCCTGAGACCCTGCCCCTGCCCGTCCCGCTCACCGTTGATCAGTTCCAGGGCCTCCTCCTTGGTCCGGGTGATCTTCTCCTGCCGCCAGGACGAAGGCCGCCTCGACTGGCTGTGCTTGACCAGCAGGTGCGAGCAGCGGACCCTGGCGGGCTCCCCCTGCCCATTTTTGCTGCCGCCGCCACTGCTGCCACTGGTGCCACTGGGCCGCTCCCACTGGCTGGCGTTGGTGATATGGTTGAAGTAGTACACGCGGCCTGCAGGGGGATGGCAGGGCTTCAGCTGAGGCTGGCACAGAGGCCCGTAATGAAGGGCCGGCTTGGGAGAGGGCTGCACGCAGTGGACACTCCCAGGTCTGCCACGGGCCTCGGGACCCAGAGATCCGGGCTCCCTGCCTTACAGGGTCGTGGTTCTAGGAGGGGCTTTAAACCCCCAAGTTGACAAGATAACTTCCGTAGCTCGTGGGAGGACAACCCAAAGGGAAGAGGAAGAGGGGGAGGAAGGAACCAGCAGCCAGGCCGCCCCGGGGTTTGTATGTGGCTCAGCCACTTTCTGTACATCTGCCTTTCCTGGGCTCAGTCTCCTTATCTGTAAATTGGAGATAAACCTGCCGGAGGGCTCAGAGGAGTGCACGCGTGAGTGACATGCTTAGCACCCAGCCTGCCACACATTAGGAGTGGGACAGGTTTTGGAAAGCTTTTCTTTTTGAGGTACTGGAGTAGAATTCAAGGTCTCTAAGTAGAGCTACCTCCCAGACCTTTTTCATTGGTTTTTTGAGACAAGGGGTCTCACTGTGCAGCCCAGACTGGCCTCAAACTCGCAGCAAATTGAGATAGACCCTCTCCAAGTTGTTAAACTGCTCAGGTTGGGCTCACATTTGCCTGAGATTACAGGCAAGCACTTTTTTTTTTTTTTTTTTTTGGGAGACAAGGACTTGCTATGTTGTCCAGCGTGGCCCTGAACTGGGCACGAGCAATCCTCCCACTCAGCCTCCTGGGTGGCTGGGACTCCTAGAGTGTGCCAACAGCCAGACACACCCAGTTCTCTCTCTCTCTCTTTTTAAATTTATTTTAAAAAATTTCTTTTTGGTACCAGGGATCAAACTCACAACTGTGTGCTTGCAAGGCAGGCGCTTATGCTGCGCTAAATCCCCAGCCCCTTGTTCTTCTTTTTCTTAAACACAGTACCGGTGCTCAAGAACAGGGCCCTGTGCATGCTAGGAGAGGACTGCACCACTGCAGCCCCACCCGGGACCACTGTTATCATCTCCATTATATAGAAGGCAAGACTGAGGCCTCAACTTCGCATCTCTGGTAAGAGCTGTAATGGGGCAATGATTCCCTGTGCCACCTAGGAAGATAGGGACCAACTCAGCTGTGCCACACCCAAAAGCTCTGCTCTGAACACCTACCTAGTACCCTGTGCTGCTAAGCTAGGAAGCAGCATTACAGGACACCAGGTGTCCCCCAGGCAGGGAGCAGCACACAAGAAGCTTAAAGGAAGGACCCTGCAGACGCAGGCTGTCACCCCAAGAACTAAGAGTCTGGCCGCATAGAGGACCTAGGACTATGAAGAGGTGGCCCTCACTCTCAGAGGTTGCCAGGGTCCTGCTGGGAGCAGCGATGGCCCCAGAACTTTGTAAAGTGTCAGGAATATGCCGGAGGTCACAGTCACAGGTCAAGGCTGGGGCAGCTGGGCAAGTTCAGGGGTTCTGGGGGTCGATCCCGCGGGGCCACTGACTAGAACTTTAGCCATAGGCTCCACCTTCCTGACCTCAGTCCTCTCATCTGCAAAATGAGGAGAGGCCAGAGAGTAAGGACATCAGTACTCAGGGAGCCTAGAGGAGGACTCAGTGTATGCAAAGTGTTTGCTCAGCGCTGGGTGCTCAGTGAAAGAGAGAATCTTCCAGCGACTGTGATTACTTCGGGCAGCGGAGGAAGCCTGCACCTACCCGTAGACGCAGGCCTGCGTGTCGGGCATTGGCAGGGATAAGTGAAAAAGGCCTCAACTCTTGAGTCTCTTCAGTGTTCTGACCTCAGATTTTTCTCAGCTGTAAACTGGGAGTAATAACTACTGTGCAAGAACTGTAGCGCTTCAGAAAGAGAGAACTGAAATACTCAAGTGCTTTGCACGGTCATGACCGAGCACACCCTTGCATCCCACCTCACAGTATCACCTCGGAGAGCGCAGATTCAGTAATAAGGGTGTCAGCCGAGGCTGCGGACTCGCGGCCAGGCAGCACCCCGGGTCACGGCCCTGGGGCGCCCTCCTCCCAGGGGAACGCCCGCCCCCGCCCCGCCCCGCCCAGAGAGCGCAGAATTCCCCAGGGCATCCTGTGCATCAGGCAAGAGGCACCCGCATGCCCTGGGGCGATGCTGCAGCTCCTCGGTCCCTCACCCATCCCGCCCCTGCCTCAGTTTCCCCAGGTCCCAGCCCGTGGAGTGTGCCGCACCAGGGTGGGCCGACGCCGCTACCCCGGGAACAACGTGCAGAACCCAAGACTCCGCGGGAGGAAGGCGGCCGTGGCGCCACGTCCCAAGGGGAGAGCTCGAGCCCTGCTTCCTGGCTCGCGCGGCCCCGCCCCAGTCCCGACCCCAGCTGCACCTGAGCTTCGGCTCATGCGCTTCTCCCAGCCGGGCGGCAGCTTCTCCTCGTCCGCCATCTTCCCTCCTGCCGCAGCGCCCGTTCCGCCTCCGCCGCACCGCCGGTCGCTTGCGCCCGCCCACCTCCACTGCCTACTGGATAGTCGAGCCCCTCGCCGGGGCCTGGAGGCGATGCTCATTGGACATCCCAGCAATCCCATTGGCTTCCTGGCTTTCTATTGGGCAGAAACGAGGGTAGGCGGAACCACCCACGGTTTACCTGGGCCCCTCCCCCAGTCGGCCTCACCCCGGCCCCGCCCCCCTCTTCTCCTCCGCTCCTAAATGGTGAGCTGGGGACGCAAGCCCGCCCTTTTCAACGCCTTTTGACGAGCGCCAAAAAAGTCCCGAACCCTTCTTGTCGCTCTTCGCCTCAGAGCGCATCGGGGCCCGCTAGAGCTTATTAATTGGCTATTGCAGAGTAATCCCCGCCCCCGAGGCCGTGCTCGGAGGCCCGCAAGCACCCCTAGCAGTAGCGTCTGGCTGGTAACGGCAGCCGACGAGGTGTCCGGGAGTACGTTAAAGCCCGCGCTGTTACCATAGCAACGCAGTTGTCTTGGTGATAAGCAGATAAGGGCCCAAAGCCTAAATTTGGCTCCTCCATCCTTCCTCTTCCCACCTGTTTTCTCCAGATGTCCAAAGATAATCTATCTTTTATGTTTTTTGCAAGGCTATTTACCCACGCTACTGACCCATACGCTTCCCATGTCTTTTGGGACCTCGTATTTCAACTTCCTCCCTCTCCATCTGCTCGTCCCGGGTACCTAATGGGTGATGGCATTACCTATCAGGACACAGGAGACGCGGGTGGGAGAAGCACGAGCTAGGTTTGAATCAGTTTAAAGTCTGTGGAGCCCGTGGGACGCGGAGGTGTGTGGGCCGCCAGAGCTGAGCCACTGTGGGCTGCAGAGAAATGAGAATCAGAGACTCTGGCGGGGAGTCTGATTATATGGGCCCTCATGTGACTGTCCGGAAGGACGGGGCTTCCCAACATAAACGCCAGGGGGCAGGATTGGAGGCCGGACGCAGTGCGTCCGCTCACTACAACCACAATGCCTTGGTTCAAAGCCTGCCTTCTCCACTTGCTCTGACCTTGAAGGAATTACTGCATTTCTGCACTTCAGCATCCGCAGCTGCAAAGGAGAGATAGGCAGTAACACCTAGCTCTTTCCTTTAATGTGGATTCAATGAGCCTCCATATAAAGCGCTCAGAACACCGCCTGGCTCATACAGGGATGAGTGGGGGCTGGCATTTGGTGGATTATTAAAACAAAAACAAAAACAAAAAAACATAGAGTGCATAGCAATTATAAATAGGATGTATGAAAGCAAAGCAAAATTTAAAGAGACTAGGGATGTGGCTCTGCAGAACACTTGACAAGTTCATGCGGAACGCTGGCTCTGATTCCAGGAACCTCAAAAAACAAACAAACAAACAATAAGCTGCCAAGCAGCAGTACTGAGTGAGAGTGTGTGCGTATATATATCTTTTTTTTTTTTTTTTTTTTTTTTGTAGTGGGGATCGAACTCACAACTACGTGCTTGCCCGGCAGGCGCTTATGCTGCTGAGCTAAATCCCCGGCTCTAAAGTATGTATATTTATCTCAATTGTGTAAAAACTATGCAGGTTTAGATCACAGAAAATTTCTGGATGTAGCTGGGCATGGTGGCACAGTCTCAATTCTGTTCCTCAGGGGACATGTGGCAATGTTTTTGGTGTCACAACTAGGCAGAGGGACATGCTATTGGCATCTAACAGGACAGGGGTGCTGCTACATTCTTCAATGTATAGAATTCGTCCCCATGATGAATTATCTACCAAGAATGCCAAGAAACTATGTCACTGAACGATGATCACACGTAAGAAATCGGCATTGATACAACGCTGTTAACTACTAAACTTCAGAATTTCTACAAAGAGAGACGCGATCTCAAAAAAAAAGTTGGAAAACAGAGAGGAAGCAGAAGTTGTGAAGTTTAGTAGTAGCAAGTGACAAGGTGGGGCCGGGGAGGAGGGCGACCAGGACAGAAGCCCTACGGGGTGGGCCCTGCAACCTTCCCTGGAGCTGAGTGCTGTTCACCGCGATTTAGGCCCAACACAGGCTGCAGAAGCAGCAGGGCTGCGGTGCAGCTCGGTGCCAGAGGGCCTGTCAGCCTGTGTGGGCCCAGGGCTGGAGCTGCAGCACTGACAGATCAAGAAAGCAAGAAAAAAAAACAGCCAAACATTCCTTCCATTACCACATACATTATAGAAGTAAAAAACACAGTAAAATAAAATAAGCAAATGAAAGTACTAATTAAGGGTCAGGCGCGGTGGCGCACCCCAGCACCTGGGAGGCTGAGGCGGGACTGCTGTAGGTCATTCCAGCGTATGTATAAACTCAAGGTCAGCCTGAAATGCAAAGTGAGAACTTGTCTTAAAAAAAAAAAGTGGGGCTGGGGATCTAGCTCACACACACACACACACACACACACATACACACCCCACGAAGCCAGCCCTGTCCTGGAAGCCAGTGGTGGCCACGGGAGACAGGACGTGCCGGTACTCCTCCCCTCCCTCTCCAAGACACACAGGTGAGCTGGTGGCCACCGAAGTGGAACACAGCTTAATGCCTGCAGTGTCTGACGGGCTTCGAGGGCCGAAGCTGTAGTCTGAGCGTCTGTTTAGAGGGTAACAATACACAGTACAGCAATGGGCAATCTCCTTCTGAAGGGGCAGCCATGGTGAGCTCCTCTTATTTTGTTTTAAAGTCCTGTATTGGGGGGCTGGGGATTTAGCTCAGCGGTGTATGTGCCTGCCTGGCAAGCTCCAGGTCGTGAGTTCAATCCCTGGTACCAAAAAAAAAAAAAAAAAAAAAAAAAAAAAAAAAAAAAAAAATCAAGTCCTGCATCATTTTGATTTGATTTGATTATATCTTATATCGTATCTCATGGTATTGGCAACTATTTTGAAGATAACAGGAGGCACTGTGGTAGCCACTGTTGATTTTCTATTACCCTGTCTTGAAGTTCTGTATCACTTTCACTGTTTTAATTGGCTTTGTTGTTTTATTTTGTATGGTTTTATTCTCTTTAAAAACACACAAAAAGAAAATCTAAAACACAAAATAAAAATACTAATTAAAAAGAATGAGGCAGATTTGAAAAAATATAATTATATAAAAGGTGAGAAAATATCAAGATATAAAGCACGAAATAGCAAGCTACTGAGAATTACAGGTCTGATGAACACTTTTGTGTGAAAGCCCTAAATTGCTATTTCAGACAATATCTAGACTCACCCAAATTTGCTAATGACTGTCACTGGCAGGCGGTGTGGTGTAAGAAAGTCAACAAACTTTAACAAAATGCTTGGATTTTTTTTTTTTTTTTACAAGCAGACCTTAGTATAAAATGTCTTGATTTTCTTTGTCCAGTTCCGGGGCTCAGACCCAAGGCCTTGGGAACACTAGGACAGAGCTGTCTATCACCCCACCCCGACACAGCCGTCTCTTAACATTTTTATTTATTTTTGAGACAGGGTCTCACTATGTCGTCCAGGCTGGCCTCAAACTCGGTAACCCTCCTGCCTCAGCCTCCCAAGGCTGGGATCATAGGGGTGCTTCACCATGCCAGTAACAGCCCTCTTTTAAAAACAAATTGAAGTTGACATAAAGGAATTTAAAAAGGCCTGACCTTGGGATTGGATAACGGGGCAGAGAGAGGTTGTATCTTACATACTTCAGTGCTGAGGTAAAATCAGGCATCACACTGTTAAACTCATCACGGGAATAAAAAATTGTTTTCAACCAGCTAAGCTTGAGAACAGGAAGAGCAAGGGTACAGAGAGCCACCTGAAACACATTAGGAGGGACAGGCGTCTGGAGACAGGAGGACGCCGCAGCCTGGGAGGGCGGTGACCGTGAGACACGGCAGAGCCACCGAGTGCCACAGAAAGGCATCCCAGGAGCAGCAGGTCCACCGCCCAAAGAGGCGGGTGGGAGTGGGTGCCACCTGGGGACGGGACTGGGGTGACTCCAACATGACTGAGGCTCCATGGGGCCCACAGGTGCGGGGGACAGGCTTGGGGGTGCCAGCAGCCCAGCTCCCTCTGGGCCTGTGACGTCTCAGCTCGTCAGTCCAGGACTTGTGGCCAGGGGAGGGGCATGTGGCCTCCTGCCTGGGGACACTGCAGGGAAATGAGGCTTGTGCTCCCCTTTGCTGGGGACCCTGTGGATCGGAAGGGTCTTCCCAGTCCTACCCCGGGACCGGCCAGACCTCAACCCCGGTTGCTATGGCTCCTACGGCTGGGCTTTGCTAGCCCGTGCCGGTCTCATTCCCCGGATTTGGGGAGTCCTGAGGACTGAAGCTACGGATGCTCTCTACTGAGCTACCTCCCCAGCCCTTTTTATGCCTCTGTGACAGCGGCTTTGCTCAACCGTCCAGGCTGACCTGGGATTCGCCATCTTCCTGCCTCGGCCTCCAAGCAGCTGGGATTACAGTGAGTACCTCAGGCTCACGGCTTCATTGTTGTGCTGACAGTGACTGTGGACACTTACTTACACATGCTGTACCTCAATCTACCCTTCACAACATGTCAATGAAACAGTCAGGCTTCCTACTCTGCAGTGAGACAACACTATGTAGCCCAGGCTGTCCTGGAACGCACAGCAACCTCCTGCCTCAGCCTCCTGAGGCCTGCTAGGATGACAAGCATTCCTCACCATGCCTAGCTAAAGCTCATTAGTTTTAGAGGGGAAACTCAAGTCCTAGTTTAGACAGGTTAGGTAACTAGCCCGCGGTCGCCTGGCTGTTGCATAGGAGAGTTGACGTTCAACCCATGGTCTGTCCAAACCCCAAGCCTGTATTGCTGGTTCACTCCTGCTGCCCAACCCAGAGGCTCCACAGTCTATTAGAACAACAATGATCCCTGGGTCTCTGCCTTCAGAAACCCACGGAACACTCCAGGGCTTTGGTTCTGCTGGCCTTGTATCTTGTTGGTGCAATGCATTTGTGCATGCTTGTGCATGTGTGTGTTGCTAGGATTGAGTCCAGGGCCTTACAGATGCTAGCCAAATCTCTACCAGAGCCCCACTCCCTATCCCAGATCTAGTCTATCCTGAGCTCTCAATAAAAGGCCTCATTCTGGGCCTGGCGTGGTGGCACATGCCTATAATCCCAGCACTCAAGAGGCTGAGCCAGGAGGATTGCTGTGAGTTCAAAGTCAGCCTGGACTACAAAGTGAGTTTAAGACCAGCCCAGGGGCTGGGGATTTAGCTCAGCGGCACAAGCGCCTGCCTTGCAAGCAGGCAGTTGTGAGTTCGATCCCCGGCACCGATACAAAGGAAAAAGACAAAAAAAAAAAAAAAAAAAAAAAAAGCCTGAACTGCACAGTGAAACCCTGTCTCAAAAACACAAAGTAAATCAATAAAGCCTTGTGCGGATGCCATAGCGGTGACCAGAGAGGTACAACTCTCCCTTTCTAAGCCAGGTCTCAGCAAAGATGACAACCACAAAGCAGCATCTACATTTTTATTAATGTGAATTTTTAAAAACATCTTCCATACCAGTGTGAGGGGAGGGTGGGACAGGAGGGAGGGATGAAGGGCAGGAGTTCTCCCTATTGGTAATAAAGCTCCAGGTTCATGCCATCGTGGATTTCATCTGAGTAATGGTGTTAAGGAATCTGCACCCAGGTCTTCCTGCCCACCCCTCAGCCCATCAGAGTTCCATCCAGGTGCCGAGCATCCAGCCCCTGACTAAGTAAGGATGCTGTTTGAAACTGGGCCATTTTGACTTGGAGAGAATCCAAACTATAAAAATAGTTTCTTTTCCTCCCGCACAACAGATGTACCTGAGTCTTATTCCACTCGGGCCTCCTGTCCAACGCTCAGGTGGACCTCAGTAATAAATGTCCAAGTCAAACATCACAGGCCAACCACCCTCCTCCTCCTCAACGAAATAAAAACGGCTCCCATTTCTCAGAACTCACTCATCTAAGTTACAGGTGCTGATATATTTTTTTTCTTTTTGAACAGGGTCTTGCCATGCAGTTCGGACTGGCCTTGAACTCACTTTGCAGCCCAGGCTGATCTTGAATTCGCAACGATCCTCCTGTCTCAGCCTCCCAAATCCTGGGATTACAGGCCTAAGCCACCAAACCGGGCACAGGTGTTGAATTTCACACAAGTTTTGGTACAGAACAGAGACAACCAGGGCTGGGTATGTAGTTTCCTCAAATCAGGCAAAGGATACAGTCCCCCAGAGACACGTGGTCCTTAAAAATCGTGTACCTGTGGGACAGACACCTTTCAGAAAAACGACTAGGAGGCTCTGGGCCCTCGAAGCAGCCTGAGCCCTCTGCAAAGGGCTGCCGGCAGCGAGCACTCCCTCGGCCTAATCCTGGCCCGGCCAGGCCCCTACTCCTACCCCAGCACTCACCACTTCTTAAGAACGATCTTGTTCCAACGGGTGCCAGTTTGGGCGGCGATCAGTTTCTTAAGGTCCCCGATGGTGTCATCCGTGCTGGGCGCATAGAAGTTAAGGCAAATGCAAGGGCGAAGAAGATAACATTCTCGGGCTGCATACCTTACACTCTGGCAGACCCGCCCCCTCCCGGGTTAAGGGAAACACACAAGGATGTACCCGCCTCGTGCTTCGCACCACCGGCGGATACTTGCACTTAACGCGGACTTTCTTCCCCAGGCGGTCGTTGCAAACAACCTCGATCATCCTGGCGGGAGCTGCCCAGGGAGAGGGGGGCAGGCCACACAGTCAGGACTTTCGGGGTCTTCCAGGGCTCAGAAGCCCCGGCCTACAGGTCTCCCGGTCCCAGGCCCCAAGCCTTCCGCGGGAGACTTCTGTTCACCGCTCCGATCCCTCCGGACCTGAGTCCTCTCGGGCCCAAGTCCTGCGTCCCACTCCCCGCGACACCAGGCAGCCGCGCCTCGGCCCCTTCCCGTCACCCGAAGGCCTGGCTCCCGGCTTTACTTCCTACCAGCTCTCAGACCCCGAGCTGCCTGGTCCCGGCCACTTTCCAGGACTCCGAGCCTCTCCGCGTGACCTGCTCACCTCGAATCGCCTGGAACCTCCCGACGCCACAACCTCTTCTTCACTCGAGCTCAGAGCCCAGGTCAATCTTAGACGGGAAACGGAAGCGGAAGTGCGAGACCGGAAGCTCACGCCCCCCACGGGATGGGCGCCAATCAACACTGAATCCGGCACTTCCGAGTTCCGGGAGGGGCGGGACATGGCTTGTGGTTGGCTGGCGGCCTGACCCGGGCGTCAGCGAGGGGTTGCACCAGGTGGGTTTAGAGGGTTGTGCGGCGAGTGTAGTCGGATGTGGGTAAAGTGGGTTTAAGTCCGAGGTCGACGATCAGCATGTCGGAAGCGTTTGGGGCTGAGTCCGGACGGTCCAGCTGCGGAGATGACCCATTCTTGATCCCGACGCAGCTTCCTGCATTCAACCTGACCTGCATCCTGGCTTCGTGCGGCGCTGGGCCTCGTGACCTTTTGCTCAGCTTTCCCCTGAAAACCAGTGTTACTCCCCTATGGCCATCGCTTGTCCACCGGGACACCAGAAATGCAGACGCAGTGGATAAGCGAAGCCCGATCCTGGATCAGAGTCCGCATGCGCAGCAACTTCCTTTGCCCAAAGGAAAACGACACGACTGCAAAACCGTTTGGGAGCAGTTTGTTACCCAGTCCCAGGCTTGTCAGGGCTGGTGGGACAGCACCCCCCCACCAAGTTCAACCAGACAACTGTGCCAGGGGACCTGCTGAAGGACCCTTCCCACCACCCAGGATGACCCCAGTTCCGCGAGGCTAAATTGATTGATTCTGAAACGAGGCCACTACCTTTTACCTGCCCATTCCCCCGTCTCAAAGTAGGATATGATTTCAGCTTCACAGAGAAGCCGTGCTGTGGTTTTGAGCGCGACCCCTAAGGGTACATGTGTTAGGAGCTTGGTTCTCAGTGTGGTGGTGGAACTGCCCAAGACTTAGAGTGTTGTTGGGCACCCTAGTGCAAGCCTGTAATCCCAGCTACTCAGTAGGCTGAGGCAGGAGGATCATAAAGTTGAAGACACGCTGGACAATTTAAAGAGTCTGTCTGAAAATAAGATCCACAGAGAGTGGGGCGAGGTGCTAGCAGTGTAGCACAATATTCCCTGGGTTCAGTGGGGGTAGGTGAGGGGATCTTTGGGGGTGCTGCCTCAAAAGGGACTGTTAATCTGAAGGCGTGAGTGAGTTCTCCCTAGAGTGGGTTACATTTATGTTTATTTATCTTTTACCAGCTTTTTAAAATTAAAAATAAAAGACAATGAAACAAAAAATGAATAGAAGAAAATAATAAAGATCAGGAAACAGTCCTTTATCAAACTGTCAACATCATTTTTATATGGATTAACATTTTGAATCTTTCATTTCTGTAAAAATAAAAAAAGACTCAGAATAGTGTAAACAACTTTGGTAAAGGAACAAAAGTAGAGCTCCAGCCATCTCCAGCCCCACGACGTGTCAGAGTTACACCAGTCATGACAAAACGGCATTGACAGGGGCTGGGAATTTAGCTCAGTGGCATAAGCGCCTGCCTTGCAAGCAGGCAGTCGTGAGTTCGATCCCTGGTACCGATAAAAAGGCAAAAGGAAACAAACAAACAAAACTGGCACTGACATCAAGACAGACAAACCACCAAAGTACCAATATGAAGTCCCGGAATAGATACCCACATAACAGACACTTGATTTCTGGCAAAGATGCAAAAGTAATTAGGAGAAAGAAGTGTACCCCAATAAATGTACTGGAACAACTGGATGGCCACATGCAAAAAACCCAAACCTTATTGCACATCAAAAATTTCTTAAAACATCCAAAAGTCAACTCAGAATGTCTCACAGTGGGTTAAAGTGAAGGCAGGGGTGGCTTGAGTTTGTCCTTGGCTGAAGTCTTTCTCTCTGGGACAAAATACATGTTTTTTTTCCTTATCATACTAATGAAACAATGTGATTATTATGCATGTGTGACATAATTATTTCACTAATGTTTTCAAGGTGCATCCATTTGCCTGTAACAGTATTCAGTTTATCATTTTTTATGACTGAATAGTATTTCATATATCGAAATACATTTTTTTAAATCCATGCCTCAGTTGATGGGCATTTAAGTTGTTTCCAAGATCTGGCTATTACAAATTGTACTGCTATAAATATGGGTGCACATATATCGCTGTGGTATGATGTTTTTAATTCTTTTGGGAAGATACCCAGAAGAGGAATAGCTGGATCGAATGGGACCTCCAATCCGAGTTTTTTGAGGAATCTCCACACTGATTTCCACAGTGGTTGAACTAGTCTAGACTCCCACCAACAATGGAGATGTGTTTCTTTTTCCCCACAGCGCCCCCCCCCCAGCATTTGTTATTGATTTATTAATACTAGCCATTCTTTCTGGGACGAGGTGAAATCTCAGTGTTGTTTTAATTTGCATCTCTCGAATGGCCACTGCTGTTGGATATCTGCTCAAGAAACTGCTGTTTGTACTGTTTGTACCTGAGAAGTGTGTGTTCATCTCAGATGCCCATATTTGGATTGAGAGTTTAAATCTGGGAGGGCTGATTTTTTTTTCAGTTCTTCATACATTCTCAATGATAATACTTATCTGAGAAACACCAAGCAAACACTTTCTCCCACATAGTGGGTGTTCTCTGCACTCTGTTGGTGGTTCCTCTTGTGCAAAAGCTTTTCAGTAGGATGGAATCCCATGTGTTGATTCTTTGCCATAAGTCCTGTGCACTCTGGGTTTTATTCATAAAGTTTTTGCCTACACCATTGTCTTCAAGACTTTTACCTACTCTATGTTCCAGTAGATTTTTAAAAAAATTTTGTCTTTTTCTTTTTTATCGGTACTGGAGATCGAACCCATGACCACACACTTGCAAGGCAGGTGCTTATGCCACTGAGCTAAACCCCCAACCCCTTGTTCCAGCAGATTTAATGTTTCTGTTTTAATATTAAGATCTTTAATCCATTCTGATTTTCGCTGAGAACAAGGTGAAAGATATGGGTCCAGTTTTAAGCTTCAGGATGTAGAAAGCCAGTTTTTCCAACACCATTTATTAAAGAGGCCATCTCTCTTCTAATGAATGTGTTTGGCACCTTTTATCAAAGATAAGTTAGCTTAGTGTATCTGTAGTTACTTCTGTATCTCCTGATCGATCCCATTGATATTTAGGTCTTTTTTTTTTTTTTTTTTGCCAGTACCACACTGTTTACTTTATAGTATAATTTCAAATCAGGGATTGTGATGATGCCTGTCTTGTCTTTGTTGCTCAGGATCACCTTTGCTATTCTAGGTCTCTTCTGGTTCCAGATGAATTTTAGGACTGTTGTCTCTAATTCTGTGAGATACGTTATCGGAATTTTGATTGGAATTGCACTGAATCTGTATAACAGTTTTAGAAGTATGGCCATTTTCACTAAATTGGTTCTTCCGGTTATTTTTGAGATGGGGTTTCACTGTGTAGTTCAGGTTGGCCATGAATTCACTACGTAGCCTAGACTGATCATAAACTTGCAATGATTTTCCTGCCTCAGCCTCAGATATTTCATAAAGGAAAGAGCTTTAATTAGGTCAAATGTTTGGAAATTAATTTATTATTATTATTATTATTATTATTATTATTATTATTATTGGTCTTTTTGAGACAGGGTCTCACTATACAGTTAAGGCTGACCTTGAGCTCACTTTGCAGCCCAGGCTGGTCTCGAACTCCCAGCGATCCTCCTGCCTCAGCCTCCCGAGTGCTGAGATCACTGGTGTGCAATACCACGTTGGGCCAAATGTTTGGAAATTAAAAATCCAAAACATATCCTGTCTCTGGTGAGACGGCATCACCAAGTAATAATTGATGGAGAAGAAATCACAGTGCAAGGCAGAAAAGGACCAGACAGAGAGTCAAAGGCCATCAAAGCGCTCTGTTTTTGCAGTAACCCACCTGGCTAGGCACGGTGGCACACACCTGTAATCTAGTCCTGGGGAGGCTGAGGGAGCAGGACTGCCTTGCGCTGAAGGCAAGCCTGAACTAGTAAGTTTTAGACCAGGCTGAACCACATAAGGAGACCCTGTCTCAAAAAGGAAAAATAAATACAAACCTGTATGGTGTTACACAAAACAACTCTCTCCAGATTGCATGTTCCTCACCTATGGAAAAGGGAAACGTTTCCCGCTGCTGCAGCGCTGTTGCAAGGGCTGGTCTCAGAACCTGGAGGAAGAAAATTAGTCAGAAAGTTTAAGCACGGCGGAGGGCACCACTGTGCCTGAGGGCATTTAAAAGCAGCATATGTGAGCTGGGGATTTAGCTCAGCGGCATAAGTGCCTGCAAGCTGGCAGTCGTGAGTTCGATCCCCGGTATCCATAAAAAGAAAAATAAATAAAAAGCAGCATGTGTCTGCAGTCTGGGCCCTGATCTCAGACTGCTGATTTCCTGCTCTGGATAAAACACAGACAAAACGCATATTTTAGTTACAAGGGGCACTTGGATGTCCAAAGCCCAGTGACTGGACTGAGGCGCCGGTTTCTGGGCTGCAGGAATCAGCGGGGTGAACTGCTGAGGCAGACAAGGTTCAGGAATGGAGGACCACCCAGCGACAGATCAGGGCTGCCCAGATGGCCTCTGCATGAGTCAGAGTCCTCAGCTGCCATGTTACCTTGCTTTGAGCGGCCGGGACTTCACAGACTGTTAAGTCTGGGCTCTGGCCCTTGGCTTAAAGATGGATCTGCCGGCTGGGGGGTCTCTGCCCTAAGTCATATAGGGCTAGAACAGACTCTCAATTTATTTTCGTGCCAGTTAATGATTGCCTGCTTGTGCGGTGTCAAGCTGACCCTTAGCAGCAGTCACTAGAAATCCTGGGTCCCCCAAGACCCCACCGGCTGCTGCTCGATGGTGGACCTGCTTTTTCTTCTAATGCTCTTCCCAGATGGTTGACGCTGGAGGGTGGCCAATCTTTAAAAGAGGGAGAGGGAGGGTTTTGTTCTTTTGTTTTTTGTCTTTTTGAGCCGGGGTCTCGCTATGCAGTCAGGCTGGTCTCAGACTCACAAGGACCCTCTTGCCTCAGCCTCCTGAGTGCTGAAGTACCACATGCCCGACATTTACTTACTTATTTATTTTGGTACTGGGAATTGAACTATGGCCTCACTCTTAGGCAGGTGCTGTGTCACTGAGTTACATCCCCGGGCCCTAGATGTTGGTTTTTAAATTCTAATTTTCACAGGATTTGATTCAAAGATTGAGCAAGCTCAGGGTGGTGATGCTGAGTGGTGGGTTGGGGGAGATTGGAAAGGGTTAGGGAGGGCTGCCCAGAGAACAGGGAACATGAAACCTGAGATTGTGGGGGGCTTGGGCCTCACAGGGGGTCAGCAGGGTCTGCTGAGGTCCCCAGCCATCCTGGGGCCGCAGCAGGAGAAATGGGAAGTTCCTGGGATAGATACAACTAGAAATTCCACTCAGTCCAGCTATTCTCCTTCTAGAGATCGTCCCAAAAGAGTTAAAGACATCATACACAGTGATCCATGAATACCCATGTTTACAGCAGCACATTCGTAATACCTAATCCGTGGCCGCGGCCCGTGTGTCCATCACCAGATGATGGATGAAGAAACTGTATACACAGTGGACTGTCTTAAGGGTAAATGTGAGTCACTCATAGGAAATCGGAGGCACCTTCAGGCCATGTTTTTGGTTTTGTTTTTTCGGAGACAGTCTCATTTTGTAGCACAGGCTGGCTCCTAAACTCCTGGTGATGCTCTGGCTCAGCCTCCTGAGTGCTGGCGTTACAGGTGTGCGTCACCACGCCTAACTAGAGAGCATAATGTTAAATGAAATGAAGCAGGCACATAAGCTTAAATATACCGTAACTCCTCTTATATGAGAAACCTAAAGTGTAGATAAAGGGCAAAAGAAAGGGTGGACAATAGGAAATAGGTCTGTGCTAAGTGGGAAGAGGATCTTGAGATGGGAGGAAGGGAGAGAAAGGGAATGGAATAGAATTAACATGTGCTATGAATACATACCTGCTCCTCACAATGGACGTAATTATTACGTATTCCAAATGCATAATAAAAGATAAATTAACAAAACAGATTGCTATTTTGGTGCCACGGGGAGCTGACGGCCTCTTTACCAGGCAGGGCCTGGGGGGAGGTGGTCGTGTCCCCGGTGTACCCTCAGAGGTGCTGCAGGGTCCCATCCCTTCCTCACCCTCTTTCCCATCCTGGCCAGGCAGAGGGAAGGACCTAGAGGCAGTCAGTTACTAGGAATAATCAGTTACTAGGAATGCTTAGCTTCAGCTGACAATTCCCTAACATAAGTGACTTTTTTTTTTCAGTACAAAGATTCTGAAAGTAAGCAGTGCCCCCCCCCCTTTATTTTTATTGAAGCCTCATGAAGTCACTTGGTTGCCAGGCTGGACTCCAATTTGCCAGCCTCCTGGAGTGTTGGCATTACAGGTGTGCACCACTGTGCCTGGCTTGGTTTTTTTCCTACCAAATTAGAAAAGATTAAGACGTATGGCCGCATATTCCTGTGATTGCACCCAGGGAAGCTGAGGCTGAGGCAGGAGGATGTAAAACCCAAGTGCTACCCGGGCAATTTACTGAGACCGTGTCTCAAAACAAGGGATAGGTATACAGCTCAGTATAGTGTGCCCCTGAGTTCAGTCCCCAGTACCATCAAACAAACAAGCTAAAGAAAAATCAGCGTTTTACTTGATGTTTATCTATGGCTAAGTGTGAGCAGACACATTCTTTGTGTGTGTATACATGTGTGCACACCTCCAGTGTTTGAGTTCAGATGAGATGGGGTCATAAGACTCCAGCGTTTGAATTCAGAGCTACATGTGTATTAGCAGGCACTCTGTTACTGAATTGCATCCCCAAGACTTCTTTTTAAAACACTTTTTTTTTTTTTTTTTTTTTTTGTCTTTTTCCTTTTTATCGGTACCGGGGATCGAACTCACGACTGCCTGCCTGCAAGGCAGGCGCTTATGCCACTGAGCTAAATCCCCAGCCCCTTTAAAACACTTTTAACATGTCTGATTTGTTTGTCTGTGTGTATATGTTGAAAATATATTCATTGCCCTTAAATGTTCTTGGAGTGATTTAGAAAAACTAATTCACAAGCCTGGCATGGTGGCTCACGCCTGTAATCCCAGCACTGGGGAGGCTGAGGCGGGAGGATCGTTGCAAGTTCAAGACCAGCCTGGGCTACAAAGTGAGCTCAAGGCCAGCCTGAGCTTCATAGCAAGACCCCGTCTCAAAAAAAAGACAAAAAAAAAAAAAAATGAATTCACAATTAAATCTCATTTTCTGACTCATCAAATTGACTTATTTATCCTACAGATATAAAAATAGGACGTGTGTGGGGTGTGGGGGTACATGTTTACATGTGAGTACTTAGCTGCTGTATTATTTTTGTTAACCTATCTGAAAACAACTTGAATGTCCATCAGTAAAAAGGATGTTTGAATAAATTTTAATTACTTTTAGCTACTTCTGGGTACGGAGGATTGCACCCACGGGTACTCTATCTCTGAGCTACATCTCCAGCCCTTTTTTAGTTTTATTTTGATACCGAGTCTTAAACTGCCCAGGTGGGGGACTGAACTTGGAGTCCTCCTGCCTCAGCCTCCCTCAGTGCTGGGATTACAGGCGAGCAGCCACCGCTCCCGGATCACAAATTGCTATTTTTAAACTCAGTGAGGATGTATTTGGTGGGAGTGTCGACTCCAGACAAATCCGTGGCGAACAATTTGGCAGAATCAATCAAAAATCTCAACAGGTGGCCAAGCTACGCCACTTACACAAACGCATCCTCGTGCGTGGGCGTTAAAAGGCGTTATCAGGAGGCGAAGAAGCAATTACCTCGCCGTTAGTAACCCCCACTGTCCCCTCTCCCCTCCCCCACTACACCACACCGCCCGGGCCCGGTCCTGGTTCCAGGTCCCACGGCACCGCCCGCCGCAGGCGCCCGGATCATTCCGAACCTGGGCCGCTTCCGGGGCTCGCCCCGCCCCTCCACCCCAGCGACCCTCCCTGGCCCAGCACGGCGGCCTATCCCCGCCCAAGCCACGCCTCAAGGGCGTGTCCCTCCAGTCAGCCACGCCCCTGCCGTCACCAATCGCCAGATTATCTGCCAAGCCACGTCCAGATCGCTGATTATAACCACGCCCCCGAATTAGCACCGCCCAATCCACGCCTTCGGGGCGCGGCTCCGCCGTCTCAAGCCCCGCCTTCTGAGCCTCGTCCCCACCCAAACCGCTCTGCTCCCTGGCTCGTCCTTATTTCCCTCCGTGCACACGGGACCTAGCCACGCGTCCTGACGAGAGTCCCCGCTCCTCAACTCCGCTCCCAGGCCGCCTCCCGCCGGGGCCACGCACTGCAGGCTTAGTTAGCTACCCAGGCCCCGCCCCCGGACTCGCCCCGCCCATCCCGCCCCGCCCCCTGGTCTGGCCCCGCCCCCGCCCCGGGCGGAGTCAGACTCAGTCTTAGCCGCTCGGAGGTGCCGGGAGCCTCACGCCGGTGTGACTCTAGGATTTCGCCGGCTCCCCGCCGTAAGAGACAGCGTTGCCGGGCCGGCCGGTGGAAGTCGCGGCCGCCCGCCCGCCGGCCCTCGGCCCTGCCGTGCCCCCGCAGGCAGTTTCCGGCGTCCCCGACCGGAAGCGGGCGATCGAGGCGGCGCGATCATGGCGGCCATGACGGACCTGCCGGACTCCGTCCTCCTGGAGATCTTCGCTTACCTCCCGGTCCGGGACCGGATCCGCATCTCCAGGTGCGGCCCCGCGCCCCGGGGGGGACAGAGCCGGGGAGGGCCGCGCCTCGGGCCGCGGACGCACGTGGGCCCCGCGGGGCCGGGCTCGTGCTAACGGCCGGTCCCTCCCGCAGGGTCTGCCACCACTGGAAGCGCCTGGTGGACGACCGCTGCCTGTGGCGACACGTGGACCTGACGCTCTACACGGTACGGTGCGGGCTCCCGGCGGGGCGGGGGACCCCGGGGCCGGCGGGGGGACCGGCTGAGGTTTGCAGCCCGGCCGTCTGGGGCTGGCTCGTGCCGTCGCTTAGCTGCTGCTTTGTGGCTCTGGGCCTCAGTTTCCCCATCCAAGAAATGGAGATAGACAGGGATACCGAGACCCTGGGTCCGGTCCGCAGCCCCACACCGCCTGTACGGAGGAGCCTCCGCAACTACGTAGTGAGACCTCCCGGCTCAAAAAAACAAAATAATATTTTAAAAAATTACCTACCGGGGCTACTGTGAGATTTCGCCGAGTTCGTGCAGGGTTTACAGAAGGCTTATAAAAAAGGTTGCAAAACCATGTTTGGCATATAGTCAGCACAGATTACATGTTTACGATTACGTTATCAAATGTTCTTTGCTGACCTGTGTTTTTTTGGTCTTTTTGAGACAGGGTCTCGCTGTGCAGTTCAGGCTGGCCTTGAGCCCACTTTGTAGCCCAGGCTGGTCTCCAACTCCTCCTGCCTCAGTCTCCGGAGTGCTGGGATTACAGGCATGAGCCACCACGCCAGGCTCATGGCCTGAGTTTACGTTACATAGTGATTACATTTATCATAGCAAAGTGGTTCATGTACATAACACATCTTTTTTTTTTTATTTCAAGAGAAAAAAAACAGTAAAAGGGTACAAATAATACAGAATTTCAAAAAAAATAAATAGTAAGGAATCACTGGTTAATAGATTGCATATTGTCATCTTAGAAATAGTTGTTCAAATTACAAAATTAAAGCATACAAAGTGGACATTCAGAGAGATTGCAAACAGTTCTGTTCAGTGATCCAACAAAAACTTAGTAATATGGTTTTTTATCTTACACACTTAAATATACATGCAGTTATATCCTTTAGAGCACTTTCTTTTCCTCTCTTTTTTACAATAACAGACACAGTTTGGGTTTTATTACTCCCACAGTTCTTGTTAGTTTTTTTTGAAGAGAAAACCAAACATAACACATCTTAATTCTATCAAATATTACCACCAGTGTTTTTTTGTTTTTGTTTTTCTTTTTTTGGTCTTTTCTCAGGGTTTTACTGTGTAATTCATGCTGGCCTTGAACTCACTCTGTAACCCAAGCTGGCCTGGAGCGTGCCACGCTGCTCCTGCCTGAGCCTCTGGAGTGCGGGTGGCAGGCACGGCCACCACGGCCACCTGTCTTTTTCATGTCTGCCAGTTGCCCTGTTCTTTCTCCCCAGCGACAGAAAATGCTCCCGTTGCTTTTGTACTGTAGAACACAAACAGGTGCAGGTGCGGCCAGCCCTGGCACTGTGGGCGGGTCCTGGGCCTCGGATGCTGAGTCCTTCTATAAAGCAGCATGGGATTTGCAGAGACCCTGAAACGGCCTCCTGGAGACTATTAGCCTTATCTTGGTGACCTGGAGTACCTAATACAATGTCAGTGCTGTGAAAATAGGTGTGCCGTATTAATTTAGGAATGATGAGAAGAAAGCCTGGTCGGGTGTGGCGGCACACACGTGTGACCCATTCAGGGGGCCGAGCAGGAGGGTTGGCAGGAGTTGGAGGCTAGCTGGGACTACATGATGGAGCCCTGTCTCAAAAGAAGAAAGAAAAAAGCCTGAATATATTCAGTACAGACACGGTTTTTGTTTTTAAAGACCCATTTGATTATTTTGTTTTGGTTTTTATTTTTGGTACCAGGGAGTGAACTCAATCTCACACTTCTATATGCCTGGCCCTTTCTGAATGTTTCTGATCCACAGGTGGGCAGATCTGGCCATGTGGAGCCACTGTTACAGTTTACTGTGTTCTTTGAAGATAAAACAGGTGGCAGGATTTCTCACATTTTAAATTTTAACAGAAACTCCCAAAGCCAGAGCAGTTCCCAGCAGCCTGAAGAAACTGTACTTCACTTTAGAGCTCACGTTTGGTATTAGGAAGCCTAAAAGTGTCTTCCTCATCAATGACATTGTTCTACAAGGCAAGGTGACTCGTGTACATTGGCTTTGTGTCCACTGCACAGCTTGCTGACTGTGGCCTCTGCCCTTGGACGTGAGTGACCAGTACTTCCAGTGAGTCCAGGCCCAGAGGCTCAGACCTGTAGGTCTAAATTTGGCCAGGAGGTAGGATTACAGTGCACACCTGTAATCCTAGCATTTAGCCGCTGAAGCAGGAGCATCACCGAGAATTCAAGGCCAGCCTGAACCACAAAGTGAGACCCTGTCTCAGAAAAGCAAAACTAATGACATAAGTCCAGTTTCTGTGTGACAAGCAGGCAACTATTTTATGCTTTTGTGCTGGGCTTTCGTTCAGTGCCAGACCCCACCTTAGTAATGTGCAGAAGAGCCTGGGTTCCACGCCAGCACAGAAAAATTAGGTAAATAAACTTAAGGTTTGTGCTGTGCAGTTTTCTTTCTTCCTAAAGTAGAACATGCATACCCTGGGATGCGTTGTGTTTCCGTTATCTTTTGTTTTCTGCAAACTTCTCAGTATTCACAGTTCTGTTACTAGGCTGTGCCTTTGGTTTGGTTTTGCGTGTGTTTTGAGAACACAGGGTCCCATTGTAGCTTGACTTTACTATGTAGCCCAGGCTGCCTCCTGCCTCAGCCTCCCGATTGCTGGGATTATACAGCCTTTTTTTTTTTTAAACCTAGGTCTGTTAGTCATTGTGAGTCTTACTCCGTGTAGTTCATTTCTTCCAGAGAGAGTGTTAAGGAAAGGCTTTCTAGGGGCGGGGATTTAGCTTAGTGGCATAAGAGGCTGCTAGTCAAGCCTGAGGTACCAAAAAAAAAAAAAAAAAAAAGAAAGGCTTTCTTACATCAGAAGATAACAAGAACCGATTCTGTTGGTAGAGTCAGATCCGTTTGGATCTTTCCCACTCGGGTTTATTTAGTTTAGCACTTTAGTTGGGTGTGGTGGCACAGCCTGTAAGCCCAGGACTAGGGAGGCTGATACAGGAGGGTGTCTGTGAGTTTGAGGCTAGCCTGGGCTTCATAGCAAGAACCTGTCTCAAGAAACAAAACCCAAAAGCCCCAAAGCCCTAGCAGGCCTCGTGGGGAGCCAGATGGACCTTTTTTCTGGGCAGGGGAAGGGCAGAGCCCGGCCGGGAGGTGTCTTGTCCACAGACAGGGCTGAGCCTGCGGAGCCCCAAGCCTCTCTCCCGGTAACGCCGACCCCGGCTCTTCCAGATGCGGCCCAAGGTCATGTGGCATCTGCTCCGCCGCTACATGGCCAGCCGGCTCTACTCCCTGCGGATGGGCGGCTACCTCTTCTCGGGCTCCCAGGCCCCCCAGCTGTCCCCCGCCCTGCTGCGGGCCCTGGGCGACAAGTGCCCCAACCTGAAGCGCCTGTGCCTGCACGTGGCGGACCTGAGCGCGGTGCCCATCACCAGCCTGCCGCCCACGCTGCAGACCCTGGAGCTGCACAGCTGCGAGATCTCCATGGTCTGGCTGCTGCGCGAGCAGGACCCGCGTGTGCTGCCGCGGCTTGAGTGCCTGGTACTGGACCGCGTGCCCGCCTTCCGCGACGAGCACCTGCAGGGCCTGCCGCGCTTCCGCGCCCTGCGTTCGCTGGTGCTGGGCGGAACCTACCGCGTGACCGAGACCGGCCTGGACGCCAGCCTGCAGCAGCTGAGCTACCTGCAGAGGCTCGAGGTGCTGGGCTGCACCCTGCCGGCCGACAGCACCCTGCGGGCCATCAGCCGCCACCTGCGGGGCGTGCGCAAGCTCCGCCTGACAGTGGGGGGCCTCTCGGCGGCCGGGCTGGCCCTGCTGGAGGGGATGCCCGCGCTGGAGAGCCTGTGCCTGCAGGGCCCCCTCATCACCCCCGACATGCCCTCTCCAGCCCAGATCATCGCCTCCTGCCTGACCATGCCCAGGCTGCGTGCCCTCGAGCTGCAGGGGCTGGGCTGGGAGGGCCAGGAGGCCGAGCGGGTCCTGTGCCAGGGGCTGCCCCACTGCGTGGTCATCGTCAGGCCCTGCCCCAAAGAGTCCCTGGACTGGTGGATGTGACCGGTTCCAGGCCCCGGGCCCCATCCCGGTGACCGTTATGGAGCCCCAGGCCCTCGCCACGGTGACGCGGGAAGCTCCTGGGGCTCCAGGGCTCTGGGTAGAGAAAACCAGGGCCTGAGGACCCTGGATGCCACCAACTGTAGCTGGCCAGCCGTGCGGCCTTCGGCTCGGCCTGCTGTGACTGTGCAGGTCCATCTAGAAATGGCAAAGGCCAGAGCCCTCCCCGGGGACCGCAGTGCCTTACACCCCTCAGCCCGGGCCCCAGGACGGCACCCTCGGCCTTGTAGATGAGGATGGGCGGCTCCAGGGCCGGCAGGACAGGTTGACTGGGCCCCCGGGTGCCGTTTACCCAGTACACACGGGCTGGGGCTAACCGAGGTGTTCTAAAGGTGCTCAGATGTATTTTCTGAATTTTGTATTCTGCCTTTTTCAGGTTTGTCACAGTGTATATTATTTTGCTGTTAAATAACAATCATTTTTCAAAAAAGCATTGAGTGTATTGGCTCCACACTCCCCCCGCCCCCGACTGTTCTAGATCTTAGGTCACCCCACAAGTGACCCAGTGGCCTGTGTGGACCTCAGAGGGCACGCAGGGTGACAGACAGGAATGGGGGGCCCTGAGATGTCTTATAGGACAGCGGGTGGGTCACTCCTCCAGCCCAGCGGGGCTGAGGCAGGACGGGAAAGGCAGAGACCCCGGCCGGCAGGAGCTGGACACGTTTCCCCGGGGGCGGGAAGGGCGCTGGGTGGCAGAGAGGGGCAGAGGGTGGGGACAGAGGCTGGCGGGTGTCGCAGGGGGCTCGGTTTTCAGGGGTTTGGGAAATGACAACCCCTTTCCTGTCTTTTAAGTTTGACCCACTTGAAGAGCGCAGGTGACAGCCTGAGCAGGACTCTGTTGTTTTTCCGTTGTGTGTGTTGTGTGTGCCTGCTTTGGGAGGTAACCGCAGGTGTGCTCTGCCTTTGAGCTCCACCCGCCAGCCCTTTGTGTTTTTAATGTTGAGATGGGTCTGTCTGTTCAAGTTGCCCAGGCTGGCTTTGAACTTGTCCCTGCCCCAGGCCCTGAGTGGCTGGAGTCTCGGGTATACTCCCGGCCCTGCGTGTTGAGTGCTGCTGGGCCGGGTGTGTGTAGCTAAGTCCAGATCAGTGTTCCTGTGGCGGCAGAGGCTGGAGAGAGAGGGCTGGCCCCCGGCCATTCCTTCTAAGCTCCTGGGTCAGAGGAGAGCTGGAGATGTCCCTTTCCTGCATTGCCACTCAGCGCCTGGGACAGAGCGGCCTTCCCCATGTGGCCCCGTGAGCACTGGGTTGTCGGTTGCCTCCGAGCTTAGGGTCCAGTTGTGCAGAGCTGTTACAAACTTCGGAGTTCCAGCCCAGGACACTTTGGGGACAGGCTGGAACACTGAAATGGAACTCACAACTGGGGACAGTGAGGGACATGGCTCGAAATCTCTGGCTGGTGTGATGGCATGAGCCTGCAACCTCAGTACGTGGAGGCTGGGCAGGAGGATGCAGGCCAGATTGACACCAGTCTGGGCGACGTATCGAGACCCTGTCTCCAAAACAAAACAGGACAAAACAGAAGAGTTTGGGGGGGATGACTACACCCAAAGAGCAGCTCCCTCACACGTGGGATTTGTGCCTTATCCGGAGGCCCCAGAGGGACCCCTGCCCTTTCTGCCACGTGAGTCACACACAGAAGGCGCTGTCTGACCCGGGGAGCCTGCACTGCGTGTCAAAGCAGCTGGTGTCTGGCCTTGGACTTCTGACCTCCAGAGCTGTCAGGAATACATTCTACCTGTGCCCCGGTACAGGGTTCCCACAGACACCAAAGTCTTAAGGTCTTCAAGTCCATTCTGTAAATATCACAGTGTTTGGCAGAACCTGCTTGCACGCTGTGGTACACTATAAATGATCTCCAGATGATCTGTAAGAACTAATGAGGAGCAGGCGTGGTGGCACACGCTTGGAATCCCAGCACTTGGCTGAGGTGGGAGAGTCCTTGTGAGTTCAAAACCAGCCTGGGTTACAAAAACCCTAATTCAGTGTAAGCACTTGTTATTCTGCATTGTTAGGGAATAAAGACAGAGGGGAAGTATATGCAGTGTATGTTTCATACGGATCTAGTTATATTTTTAATTTTTTTTTTTTTTGAGACAGGATCTCCCTTTGTAGCTCAGGCCAAGCCATGAACTTGAAATCCTTCTGCCTTGGCCTCCCCGGTGCTGGGTGGCAGGCATGTGCCACCATGCCTGGCTCCAGCTGTTTCTCAAAGTCATACTGTCCTCGTGCTTTGCTGGTGTTTTCCAAGACAGGACAGCCCCATTCTGCCTAACCTTGGAGTTTTGTTCTGTTGGGTCTTTTTTGACAGGGCCTCAGACTCACAGCAGTCCTCCTGCCTCAGCCTCCCAGTGCTGAAGTTACAGGCATGCACCACCACAGCCGGCCAAAAATGCTTTTTTAAAATGAGAATTTCCTAAGGAGGAAACAAATTTCATGGTTCATTTCAAAAAACAGCTGCAAAACCAAAACAAAACACCGCCCGCCCCCCAGCTGTTTGAAGTAGGGCATGGCGGCACCACCTGGCACCCCAGCACTCAGAAGCCTGAGGCAGGAGGGTCACTGAGAGCTGAAGGCCTGCAGGAGCTGCACAGTGAGCCCCTCAGAACCGCCCCCACCAAGGCTGGTACACTGCAGGTGACACCGCGGGAGGCCAGCAGGTGGCAGCGCGTCTCCACCTTGTAAATTTCAGGCTCTCAACAGGAATTGAGTGAACCAACATTCTTACCCCCTTCACAATTACTTTGGGAGAAAGTGCAAAGAATCATGTTCTGGGAATCTGCTGAACCATCCGATACTCCAATTGACATCTGTGATTTTTTTGAAGCAGCCTAGGTAATACAGTTCGGGCTGGTCCTGAATTCACTGTGTAACCCAGGCTGGCCTCAAGTCAGTGATGATGTTGCTTCAGCCTCCTGAGTCCTGGGATCATGGGCGGGCGCCACCACGCCCAGCGAGAGCTAAGATTTGTTAGTAGCAACGGGAAAGGACAGCGCTGACTGACCGTACCAGGCTGACCTGGAACTTGTGTCAGTCCTCCTGCCTCAGCCTCCCAAGCGCTGAGATGACCGGCTTGTGCCACCACACGCACCAGTCATAGTCCTCACGTGGACATTCTGGTCCCTGTTCACTTACAATGTCCCTGTGTCTTCACAAGAGTCTTGGGTACACAAAAGGGGCATTTTGAGGACTTGGTGCTAAATGCCCTAATTTTTCTTAGGATCAAAACCCTCCCCACCTAAAAACTGATGAGTTAGCTTTAGAGATGTGGGTGGAAGACACCAGACCCCTGGACCAGAGACCAAAGACTTCATAGTGGTTCAGAGAGCAGCATGAGCTTCATATCTCTGTGAGTTTCCTTTGAATCTCAAGTCTGGAGTAACATGACGGGGCTGTGGGGTTTGCCTCACGGGTAAGGAACCCCAAAGTTTTTGGCAAACTGCAAACAAACCTACCCAATCTTTGTTTTAAAGAGAAATACGGTTTTGTTTTGTTTTGTGAACCCAGGCAGCTCTGAGATACATCTCTAGCCCTTTTAAAATTTAACTTTATTTCTGGGAAAGGTTCGTGCTAAGTTGCCCAGGTTGGGGTTTAAATTTGAGATCCTCCTGCCTCAGGCTCCTGCGTCGCTGGCATGTGTAATCACAGTGCACAGAAGCCCTCTGCCTGTTCCACGTCAGAACTCACACAGGCGAAAGGTCAGGTACGTGTAGAGAGTATGGGAAAGTCTTCCATTCCTCTCAGCGTGTAAGAACTCACAAGGGGCAAAAGCCAGTGTGTGTACGGGATGAGGGAAGACTTTGACTCGGTCCAGCGGACTCACTTGACACACACAGATTCACGCTCGAGACAAACCTTACAGTGTAAGGAAAAGCTTACATGCACATATCATGCTCATGAAGCATGTCAGATGCACCGTGGAAGGGATCCACATGTGGGCGGGCGTGCGGGAGTCCACACTGCAGACAGGGACGTAGACGCTGAGGCAAAGCCTCCCGCCCCACAGCAGTGGTGGCTCCCCGAGCACACAGCACGCGTGGGAGTGTCAGCAGTGCGGGTGAAAGGTCACTCAGCAGGCAGCACCTGCTAGACACTGAGATCTGTGCGGAAACCCTGGGACATTCTTCAGACCTCGGTGTTCACACCTGGATGTTCTGGAAAAGCCCTCACGAAACTAAAGAATGTGAGACATCCTCACGCAGTTTCCCTGCCTCACGTGGAGGTTTAACCTGTGACGGGAACAATTCTCATTCTGCAGGAAATACGGGAATACATCTAACCCTGACTCACATGTAGGAGAAGCACAGAAGCGGGGGAGTGCTAAGCCCTCCTCTGTTGCTTTGAGTTGGGGTCTCTTTATGTCATTCAGGCTGGCCTCAAACTCGCAGCCCTCGTCCTGAAGAGCCCCCCGAGTTCTGGGTTACAGGCCTGTGCCGCCAAGCCTGGCTGGTGATACGGGCAAGAGATGATGGACTTCAAAATTAACAAAGCAGTGCTTTTTTTTTTTTTTTTTTTTTTGGTCTTTTTCGTTTTTACCGGTACCAGGGATCGAACTCATGACTGCCTGCTTGCAAGGCAGGCGCTTATGCCACTGAGCTAAATCCCCAGCCCCTCAAAGCAGTGCTTTTATGAAGCCGAGCTCAGCAGCGGCTCGGATCCCCAGGGCAGCCCGGCAGTGCCCGCTGCAGTGCCCGCTGCTTGCCCCCCGGCTGTGAGGTGCTAGAAAGCCGTGAACTGCAAGGGAGGGGTGAGGGCACAGGATCAGCTTGTCACCCTGAAAGGAGTCAAGGGGGCGGAATTACAAGAAACAGGGAAGCGGGAGGGGGCTCCACGGGGTGCGGGGCGGGGTGTACCCTAACTTGGGACTTTACTAGCAGTTACATAAGTTTTACTAGAGAAACAGGAGTCCTAAAGGCACATTAAGTAATAAGTACAGCATATTTTGGTTTTTGAGCTTAACACAGCTGGAAAGTTTTTTGTTTCAGTATTGTTAACCACTTAACTCACAACAAATTTGGCATGATGGTGCACACCTATAACCCCAGCCTCAAGGGAGACAGAGGCAGGAAGATTTCAAATTCGAACCCGCCTGGGAAATTTAGCTAGACCCTGCCTCAAACAAAAACAAAGTTTTTAAAATGGGATTGAGAATGTAGCCCAGCAGTTGAGAGCTTATCTCATGTGTGCAAAGCCCGGGGTCAGTGTACTGAAAACAGTATGCAGCCGCCCCGTGTGTGTCACAAGCATGGGACACAGCTGAGCGTGTGGCTCACACCTGCATTCCCAGCACTCGGGAGGCTGAGGCAGGAGGGCGGCTGCACGTCTGAGAGCAGCCTGGGGTACAAAGTGAGCTCAGGGCCAGCCTGAGCTGCACAGGAACAGCCTTTAGAAATTTCTGGCAGACGCAGAGGCATGTGGAAAAAGCCTCAAAAATTTGAGAAATGTAGAAAATCCTTTGGATGTTACTA